TCAATAATTAATATCAGCTATTGCTCAGAAGTTAAATGACAGATAAAAGTCACAAGTTAGCAGCTTTGACAATTTATTAAGAAACCTCAGCTAATTCAGTGCAGAAGGAAAACTGAGTTTACATTTAGACAAAAGAAAGACTACAGCTGTTTTCCACTATGTCTAAAAGGTATATCGTCATAAGCAAATAGTGGTGATAGATATAGAAGTGAGATATGACACAACAGAATATTTTTCAAATGTATGATAGAATTAATGCCTTTAAACAAGACCAATCCTTCAATATGAACAAAAGGAGATTATTTAAATTAAAAGATTCAATCAAGAGAACTATGAATTATTAGAGAAAAATGTGGACCTTGTGAGTTAAACACAGCACTACATTATTCAAGTATGTTGAAGAAAAGTGTTATTATAAGACACCTATTAAAACAGAACAGCTTAAGAGATCTCCTCAGAGAAGATAAAAAGCCAACCAAAAATATTTTAAAACATTTAAAAATTAACACTAATCAGATGGCATACCCAGAATATTCACTTAACCTTTACTTTCATCTGAGAGAAGTGTGACAATTATCAAGCACTACCTAAAGAAAAGGATTTCTTTCTCCCACAGCTACATGGACAATATGGGATTGGTAATGACTCCAGCAGAACCTTGAAAATTTTACTTCATCCTACATTAACTTTACCTTTCTTGAATACTTCATCTGCAGGCATGCCAGATTTATAAGCTGCAACTGAGGGATGTTGAGAAATTTTTCCCAGACTTCATAAAATAAATATTCTTAAACTCTTGCCTATGAACCAATAATGGACTTCAGTGCATTATTAGTGGTCCTATAGGAGCAAGCAGAATTTAGGCACTAGATGTCCTTGTCTGTAAATTGTGAGCTTAGTATAAAAAAAAAAAAAAACCCCACAACCAAAAAACCACAACATTGACTATTTTTGAACTGACGGTTGCTGTAGTGACTATAGAAACCTTACAGCATTGTAAAAGGAAAAATTGTAAAGTCACAAGACTTTACTCAAGTGAGGGCCACTGTATGAAAAAAAATTTCAGAACATCTATATTACAATGAAAATGTTAACAAAATTGCAGTCTTTTTTTGGACTTCTTTAATCTACAGAATGCTAGTTGAGAAACTTGTGTGCAATTTTTATGTGATTGAAACTATTATGTATGGAACAGTGAAAAACCTATTACAACATGTATCTTAGAGAAGAGATATGAAAAACATCAAACTGGTACAGTGGATCGTTAATTAAATACATATGAGTATAAATGGATGGAAATGTGCCAAATGAAAGATGTAATATCATCAACATAAAACATAATGATATATCTTAACTATGATCTGCCATATGTACAAGGGTCAAAGCTAAAGCTGCATGGCAAATTTATGTATTGGATTTTCTGATTTTAGTTTGCCTTATCTAAATTTTATCTTCTCCAGACTACAGCTGTGATACTAATTATATACATTTTACTTTAAAGAGTTCTAGCTGTATACACCAGGATGTTAAGACAGAAACAAAAAAACCCTGAATCCATAAACTAAATCTTATGAAAAAAATCAGTTACTGTCTTAAGTGTTAGAACTAAAAAGAGATTTGACACCTTCCTCCCGCTTGCATCCCAAAACTGAGATTAACAAAATCAGTCTCAGCTCTTGCCTAATCCTTGAGTTGAGAAAAATGCAGATTCAGCCTCAAAGCGCAGCAACAACTGACTAGTTTTCCTTTACTAAAAAACTCTTTCTCTCAAGATTCCCAGACTTGGCCTACCTTGACCGCACAGACTAGACTTATAAACAAACCTTTGTTGTGGGAAGGATAAACGTGATGAGCTACTCCTCTCTCTTGCCCAAGATTTTTTGTGGAATAAGCGTTAGGTGTGCCAGAGAAAGGGAGAACCAATCTGTAATTTAACAATTAGCTCCTTTCACACATAAGATACGGGTTCTCATCCTTTCTCTTCCGAGCACTCACTAGTTTGCTAAATATTTCTGTAGAAATAGATTTCAATAAAGCCAGTGATTACTCTTTATTAATAAAAGCAATCTGAAATTTTTAGTAGGCTACAACTTTATGATTTCCTGTTCTGAAATAGTCTTAATTCTTAGGAGCTTGGCTTTTTCAAAAGGATTAAAAATAGCTAACTTCTGTCTGCTTTTGACAAACATAAGGTCCTGTAATATAGGGGAGAAAGGCAGGTATCATGACCGATCCAAAACTATGTTACAAAAGAACTCTTCCGTCTAAGAACACACCATAGCAATTGTTCAGTATTGTCACGTATTTCTAATTTTGCCTCCAAAAGTTAAACACTGTGTATATAAATAAAGTAATTTAGTGCTATTCCACTTCAGCCTAAGCATTCAGTGTCTGATTCTATGATTCTCTGACATCATTATTACATAAGTATGTTCCAAGAAATTGGCATTTATCTCAGTTTTTATAAAATGAGTGAGCCTTTAGTATTTTGGGGTTAAATTAATTCACATATAAAATATGTGTACAGTGCTGGAATAGAGGAATTGACTTTCCCTTCCAGAATTCACAGAACAAGTATTACATATTCAGAAGTTTCTTTTAATGAATATGGACTGATCTGAGGCTACCAGTGCTTTTCACGCTGAACTGCAAAATGCTACAAAATCTTGGGTTAAGTTTAACTCATCATGATCTGGAGTCTACCACGAGAGACCAATAAAATAATGAATTAAAAATATTAACAGAAGAATCCTAACTCTATCAAAATCAATGTTCCTATTAATTTTGATGCAAATTTGGGCAAGAATTATAGCATGGTATTTGGGAGTTTTTACTTTTTATTTAATCGTTCTTTGATTTAATCCACTTCAGCTCAATAAAATTAGTTGCCTCCTCCTTTAGGAACCATATCAGCTGTCCAATGAAATTAAAAGACAGGAAGGCAGACACCGATGCTGAGGATTTGTTGATTGCTGTGTACATACCACCTTTCATCATTCCCACTTCATAGCATTTTCTTAGTCGGCAAGCCTGGCAACTCTTTCTTCTGTTCTTGTCGATGGTGCACTGGTTAGTAGCAGGACACATGTAGTCATTGTGCCCTGTAAAACCAGAGGGAAAGTAAGGGTACAGTTATACACAGACATAACAAAACTGCCTACGATATGCTTTCTTACTTTTCGTAAGTAATATGAATACTAAATACTTTTGAGTATTTAGTACGGCATCTAACATCTCCGGAAGAAGGTAGCGTTACTATCATAATCTATCATAAAAGTATTGATACGGATAGTGAATCTAACATCTATTCACAATACATTTATTCACAAGTTCTTTAAAAGTACTATTAAAAACACAAATTACAACATCTGTAGAATAATTAAAATAATGAACAATTAAAGCAGTCACAAAAGAGGATAGGTTAATATGAACAAGTCCCTTGACTTCCTTGCTCTTAACCTGAGAAATACAATGCCATCTGGTGCGTGTGCCTGTGTTGATGTTTAACCGATAGACTGCACAAAACGGTTAGAGGTTTACAGAATTAAAAAGGCTTATGCACAGAACATTTTTTGGTACCTACCACAATCTGGGCAGTTAAGAAACAAATGACAACAACGTAAAATAGAAGCAACAAACTTTAATTAATCGTATCTCAGGGATAAATCAGTCTCTAATTCCAATTGCATGTCTACTGATATATGCAAAAACCTTTTGCATGACAAATTCTTAAATTACCATACCAAACCAAGTTTGGTACTGGTACCTTTTCCTTCAGAGCTCCGCTTCCTCATTTATTACCCTCTACATCTCAATTCTTGTTACAAGCATTTTCAGCGTACCATAATTTGTTACTGCCAACAAGCCTCTATTCCAACATTCTCTTTAAAAATGTGTGCTTAAACCTGCTATAAAACTATTTTCCAACCATAGACAAAGTTTAACAAGGACAAAAAAGACTATCCAAAATGATCTTATTGGTGCTCTGTATTCATCTAAACACAACTAAGGTACAGCACACAACGAAACAATTTTACTGCAGAACTGTTTGTTCTTTCTTTCAGGTCAAGGGATCAGCTTGAGGTAGAGTAGGGTGGAGGTTTGACAGAGGCCTTGGTCTCATCAAATCATCTATCCTTGACTAGAAATTAGAAAATAGAGTAAAAATTACTATCAGATTACACCAAGAACATCTGTTCTTTAATGCTACGTAACTGGGATCCAATCAAAATAAGCAGCCAAACTGTAAACATGTTAATATGGTGACAGCTGACTACACTGCCCCAAATAGACAGAATTATTATTTTTCAGCTCTACTTGACAGAACAGTATAATACTGGAAAAATCTGAATCCACAGGCTTTGCTCCAGGACTGCAGTAAAAAGGTAGAACAGAAACACTACCTCAACCTCAGCATGAAAGACCATTTTAATTTTCAGTTCCTCTGGTAGGATACAGACTGTTCTATATCTGATTCAAAACATTTCACATGTAAGGAAAAAAAAGTCGAGTCAGAAAGAAAACAGCCTCAACCATAACAAAAATGCAATATCTACAGGGAAAAGGAGCAAAAAGGGAAAGCCATGTTTTTAAGAAAATGCACTTTTTTTGGTCACACTAAACAGCAGAAAAAGATTGTAGCACCTGACCTCAATTGCCAGTCTTGTCTTATAAGCCAAGCTCTGAAATAGCATGAGAGAAAGACAGAAAACTATAATTACTCTTGTTAAAAACAAAGACTTTGACAGAGTATCTGATCTTCTTCCTAGTGAAGTTAAAAGGTAAATTCACAAGGGGAACGAGAACAGGCTCTGAATTCAGCAAATAATTCAGAACACCATTTAGCTCTCTGTAAAATAAGCAGATAAACGTTCCCACGTAGGTCAAAGCTGAACACATGAACAAGCTTACCACTTTTGCTGGACTGGCTGATGATCATAAGGTTCAACTCTTAAAAAAAAAAAAATGACAGTATGCAAAACTCAAAAATCAAGTGGAATCAATATCAGCAGGACAGCCATCCTTTTTCACAGTGCTTATGTGGGTGATAACATTTTCTTTTGCTCTGAACCTAGATTTCCTTATGCAAACTGCAAATTTTTGGGAATAGGCATTTGGTTTGTAGAATAATACATAAAATAATCCTATTTGTGATAGAGCTACAGTCCCTATTGAAATTAAAATGATTCATATTATCATATTTTTACATTGAAAAGTTTTACCTTAAATATACACTATAAAGGTTAGCATAATTAGTCTGTTTTCATGCGCATGACCTGCACCTTAGACAATCCACTCTTCTTTCAAAGTGCTTGACAGACTTCACAGAATAAAACCTGTAAAATTTTGAACGCAAAAAAGGAAAGATCTGTGTGTGAGGGGCATGCTTCTTCAGATTACAAGTGCCACAGTAATGTCACTGTTTAGACTTCATATTTGCTGTAAATCTGGGAAGAAGATAATGCATTTAATGTTTCTCATAAGTTTTGGTTTAGTTTAACCAACATACCTTCAGAAGACTGGAAAAGATGTAAGCAACAAGAAGAAATTGTTTGATAATTAGAGTATACAGTAGAAATGATTATCAAATTAGTCAGGGAAGAAGAAAGAAACCATGGGAAGAAGGAAGGCAGGAGCCTCTCCTGCTTCTCCACAATGCCATCTGATTTCAAGTATTCAGTCACAGGAAGTGAGGAAGGAAGTTTCCTTTGCAAGGCACAGATACAGGCTAGGGCAGTCTAGCTTGGGGTGGCATGGAAGGGAAAAAGGTAGAAGAACACAATTAAAGAATAGGTAACATGCAAAGACAATTGTCTTTTAATTATTCTACCTTTTATTTTATCCTTAACGCTCATGTCTCAGCAAAATTGATTCTGAACAATCTGACTTACTAGAAGGGATTTCTCACGGGTAGGAATTATCAACGTAAGAGTGGGACACATCAACAGGTGCCCAGCTGCCCTGCACTTCGTTTTCATGGTATCCAAAGAGTAATACATGCTAGAAGAGAGGCTAATTAGGCCATTTGGATGGTTCATATCACAGGAATACCGAGAGGAAGAAATGTCTTCAGTGATCACTGATACTCGTAAAGGGAAGCACATACCACTTGGACCTTGTGGTCTTATTGGGTTTTTTTAAAATAAATTATCAGATAACCTGCACAAAATTAAAGGCAGTGAGTTTAGTAGGGTAGACCCCCTACTTTTAATCCCCCCATATGTATGACTTGCACTGTCATGAGCCACAAAGGAAGAGTTTAAGGGAGCTATTGGAGGAGCTAGAGGAGGGATAGTCTGTTTCTTATGATATCTCACACATTGTACTTTTTAAAACAGTAAAAATAATATTAAGTACTTTTATAGCACTTTATCATATGCTAAGGTCTTTCCAGAACAGCATGCAAAGATCTGGCTCTTTTCACAAAACACTAATTTTAGATGTGACAATCTGTATGATGACCAACAGTGGAGGGGGGGAAGATGAGGAAGCAAAGTGTCAACAAGAAGATAATGGCTGAAATTAGGATGATTTTGAGTTTATTCCAACCCAGCCTGTCATTGTCAGAGCTTTTTCTTACTGCACATGCAGTCTGACTTTCTCTCGTCACCATGAGTCATGTGGCTAGTATTTATATTCAGACACTCATCGCTATCCATCTAAGGGTTCTCAATATAGCTGTGGTGTACGCAACAGCAGCTCATGCTTGAATCGGAGTGGGCAGATGGTTTATCTGTGGGGGCTTCAGTCAGCAGAACACTTCATATTTCTTTAAAGTTAAGTGTGACTACAATCAGCAGAACATTTAAGCATCTGTGTACTTCTAGGAAGTAGTCCCAGCACAGTATATATGGTTAAAGTTAAGTAAATTCTTGAGTGTTTCACTGAATTGCAGCTTTGAAGAGCGGAGTGCATTTTGTCCTTGAACAGCAGGGATGAAAATTGGGGTCATATTAATACATCAACAGCAATTAACATAACACAGAAACATTTTTTTTCCTTAAGTGTGTAAACAGTTGTCATATTATATTCCAATAACCATCAAGATTAGCCTGTGGGAATGATTAGTTTAAGCGGTACAAAATTTGTACAAAAAAATGAACTAAAGAAACCAACATGGCGGCATGCCAGCTTAAGAATGCTTAATGACAATTCTACAAACCCAACAAAGGAACATTTTTGTCAGGTGAATTTTGTATGACATCTAGACTGACGTAGTTGAATTGACTCATCATACATTTCAAACAAAGCCAGTAATAATTATTAATCTTTTACTAATATGTGCTTTTCCTTTAATTATTTTTTTATTTTCAATCCTCATGTCACACAAATTTCTTAAACTATTCTTTATCTATCTTCATAAGGTATCTGCCAGGTTAGCCATTCCCTGTGGAAGCACCAGGTCCTTCTATGATCTTATTCTGACAGTGAGATTAGCAGAATTTCATACACGTAGATGAAGGGAAGGCTAGAGTATAGACTTTATCCACACCTTAAAGTGCCAAACAAATAATGAGTGGGAAGACTGCAAACAAAAAGCAAAACCTTGGAAAGAATAGCCTCAACAGCAAATTGAAAGTTTTCATAAATGGTAAAAAGAAAAAAAAATAGCACCTGGACATTGCATATGCTAACCCAGTATGAACAAATAAATGCTGAATGTAAAATAAAAACTTATACAAATTTTAAATTAGAGTGCCCCAATAAAACTGCACTGATTGATTTTAAAATCTCAAAAAAAAAAGAAGGTTATGTCTAATTCCTTCATAAGCATAGACACTCAACTTCACAGCTTAATTACCCTCAGACAAGGTCTTTGGATTTGGAACTTATGTTCTCTTAGCAACTACCCAGCACTGCTGAGAAAATTAATCATTTTCTGTTTTTAAACTAGCAAGACATTACCACATGTGACAGTAAGGAAAAGGGCCTATAAGACTGTAAAACATACTTCCTTTGCTTCCAGTGAGGAAGTCCTCCTTCCATGAATACCTTGGAAAGAAAGATCACAGAACCACTGAAGAATGAGAAAGGATGAAAGGTTAAAATCTATATACTCTGTATTATGTCCTTCTGCTGTGTCATGTAGCTCCCACACTGA